CCAGCTCAACGGGGAGGTTGAATGAGTGAATACATAGAGCCTTTCTGTTTCTGCAATCAGGCATACCTTCAGAAAATCCTTCAGATATGAGAGTCGCAATATATTATCGCAATATATTGCACTACGAGTACATTGAGAATGAACTACACGCCTCCTTAATAAGCGCTTACAGTTTTATCTTAATCTTCTACCATTGTAACTGATATCACGTCTGCTATGCACGGTGGACTAGTTTCCTACGACGGTGATAGCGACTCGGGGGATGATTCTACCCAAAAGCCTGTAAGTCTATTCAACCTTCTCCTTCAATGGCTGTTTCCCTCTCCCCGGTTAGGATACAAAGCTAAAGGTTAAAGCAGACGGAGGTGTAGAACGTTCGTCTTTCTCTTCGTTTATTGATCATCTTATCACTGCATAATTGACTCTACCTTTCCAGCTCGCACGCAGCAAAAGAAATCACAAATTGTAATCAAAAGGCCAAGAACCTCTCAACGACCTAAAGGTCATGTTAGTATCGATTCCGCTCAGCCTGCCCCGACTACGCCCATGGCACCAGTCGACAATCCTACATCTACATCGACAACAGGAAGCTCCCAAACGTCCTCGACGCCCGAACCTGAAGACGTTCATCTTGCACGTATTCGTGCCTTACTCTGCCCTCCCCCAATACCCGGTCTAGCAGATTGGGGTATACCCCCAGAAGCGGAAACCGCCTGCGATCCAGAACTCGAAGCAAAGTTGAAGCAGTTTCACCAACTCAAATCTCTCCCTACACCGAAACATTTCAACGACACTCTCATGTCGAACCGTTCATTTCGGAATCCACATCTGTATGCTCAGCTTGTAGAGTTTGTGAATATCGATGAGCGGACGACCAATTTCCCTAAGGATATCTGGGATCCGGACGAAGTTAGGGACGGAGAATGGGACGCAGAGAAGATTGGTATGTGTCTTCCTTACCAACACCAGACGTTTGAGCTTAGTGGTGCGTTATGTAGCGAAATATCAGAAAATAAGATCGGAGCAGCAGTCGCAGCAGTCAAAGTCTAGGACACATATTGAATTTTCTTCGGGGAAGGATATTGTACGTCCTTTCTCTCTCGTCTATGTATACATACTCAAACACCCACCCGTGCTACAGAGATCACACCCGTACGCAAACGCACCATCTAGCGGAAGTGCACTTGGAGGTCGAAGACAAGCCAGAAGTTCAGGTGGCCCTTCGCGATGGGGATAAATAACTGTTACCCTTTGTTTATGAACAGATTGTAATTCCTGATAGAACTATCTTTCAACCCCGCGTGCTGCCCAAGTCGATGATATCAAGGCTCACCGCTCAGATTTTTCCTCCTACTCTAAAGAGTAAAATAACCTCTTCGAGGGAAACTACTCAGATCACGGCTACCCGAGGCTTACGCATTCACATGAAAGGCCATTCTGTCACCCAAAGCAACTAACGTATATCGCCCTTCGAGGTATGTCTATGATTCTCAAAGCTAGATCATATCTTCCTTTAAGCAAGGCAATCTTACGGATGCACGAGAAAAATCACGAATAATTTGGGAAGGGGAACCTCTGCATTAGAAATTCTCCACTAAATATTTTGTAGCACGAAGATGATTCGAGGATCAAGGTAGCTTCCTGATCAGTTGACCTTTTTCTGATTAAGATTAAATATCTCATGATTTCGAACAGTAAATCAAATCCACTAGAATTTTTGCTACTTTGAATACACAAGTGAATCCGGTGCTTCAAAAACTTCATTCAAAACAGGTAAAGAGGATATACTTCAACCCTGCCAACAGCGTGATTTTCAGATATCATGATAACTTCTCTTACAACTTCAAGTTTACCGGAGATATACGAGTAGCCCTTGGCATAGACCTTGGTCTGAGTCTGGCATGAGTCGAGGCTTGCTCCTTGAACAGCTCTTATCGGTTCTTAGCTCTCTCTGCTTTTCGCTAGGACGTCGGTCCAGAAACTTAGGCTGGAGCGTTGACTAGCGTTGACCGTTGGCTTTTCTCCGATTGACCCAGGCACCCGAGTGAGACTTTTTTCTCTTGTTCCGAAATATCCTGATATGTCCTAACGATTTGTCGAATCAGATTGATGGAATTTACTAACGTTTAGCCTTTTTCGCCTATCACACCCAATTAGGAAGGTAACAAGAGCGAAGTTTAGCGAGGTTGCAACATTTCGTCAGACGAAAACTTGAAAAAAATCGAATGAGCCTGTAGCTCTCGATGGAGCTAAGCAGCTGTAAACTTCTGGATGGTCACCAAGAACTGGGGAGGCTATTCATATCTCGCGCATGTCATACACCCCTTTTTTTGATCAAAATTCCAAAACAGGGTGCGTGAAAGATCAGTTGTTTGATTTCTTCCAGCCAGATGATCTCCTTCCGAGCATCTTGCTCTTGCATTTTAGAAAGGTTAAGGAGATAGCAGTCAGGGAAGTGTCGACCAAGAGATAGACGGACCGGCCCCGACGAGTCCCGACGTTGGATAGTATGGTAATTACATGATCGAGCCTATTGTGTTTTACAATTTCAATTATAAGGTTTAGTTGGTTTCGAATAATTTGGTCGAAATTGGGTGTGTATGTGTACAATGTCTAAGTGTGAAGCCTAAGGGGCTCGTGCGTTGGATAGCTATATTAGGACTGGATACCCTCCCCTTTTTGAAACCCTCTGACTATATTCGACATTCATCGTTCGACAAGCAAGCAAATCATTAGATTTTTCTCGCCGTCGTAAATAATGGCGGACGCCTCAACCTCATCCCCCATTCCCTACGAAACTATTGCATCCACTCTCGGAATCTGGGTCATTTCGTTCTTTCTCGCTACGATGTATGTCGTCCATCTTCCCATACCCCCAGGATTACAATCAAGCAAAATTTACAGACTATATGGGATGGGTGTTTTGCAAGCTTGGCTTTACTTCCACTGGTATCCGCAAGACGGATGGAAATTGAAGTCGGTGGTACGTTCGTCGTTTTTGGTCTTTTTTTGCGGCCATAGAAATTCATATGATTATTTGTTTAGGTGTTAACGGTTCTGTACGTCTGACATGCACTGTTTACTCAAATAAGACGCCGATCCAAATTCTGTATGTAGCGTTCTGGAAACCGTCCAAGTCACAACCTTCTTCGCGGCTACCTACAACGTCATTATCAAGCATTTTGGAGATTGGCCAGCTGTCTTGGCCATCACTTGGTACGTTCTTGGTACAATCTATTTCTTTGATTTTAAATATTCTTTGCATAGGTTGCACTCCGTAAGCTACTCGCGATTAAAATCTGACGCATCATGATCTCACACTTCTTTACACTGCAGACTCAACTACTCGCTGGTGTATGTGTTTTTTTCCTAGTATATGCTCTGCCTCAAACAGCCCTTACAGTATTTTTCGGCCTTCGTAGTTCAAATGTACTTTGCATGCACGATATATCTCTGTTGGTGGACTCTCTGCCATTGCATCGTCGTTGCTCATACATCCAATAGTGAATGGCCCTGGACTGCAGCGCTGGGTTTTCACTATTCCAATCGTTAGTCCGCTCTCGATACAACCATTAGTGTTTTAGTGAAGTTGCTTTCAGGTGCTTTCAGCTGTGGTAGAGTTGGCAATGACGTTAGGTTTGTACCCAATCAACATCCTCGCGTACACTGAAGTTCATGTTAACGCTTATCATTTCCAGTACAGGCTATCGAAATGTGATTTCCTCTCTCTTAAATCATGATATCCTAGTGACTCTCTTTCCCTTTTAGTACCTTTCTTTCGTCTTTCACACAGATACAAAAAACAACGGTAACGTACCCTACTTTACTACGGCTCCGCCATGAATATCTCTCACATACTTCGATATAGTGGATATACTCGCTTCTCAGTGCATGCACCTTTTCTTGCGATGTGCTTATTGCTTTCGCAATATACGTCACGTTAACGGGAAAGAGGACGGCTATTCAAGAGTATGTCACTCGACGTTTTCGACGTTCTTCTAATCTGATATGTGCTCAGAATCGCTGGCGTTCAATACTTTCCCTCTCGCTCAAACACCATCATCCGCAAGCTCATAATCTACGCTATCAATCGTGGCGTCCTGACGGCGATCGCTGCTGCAATCAATCTAATTCTAGTGCGTCTTTTCTCTTTGGGTCCGAATCAAGCTCACTTGCAAAAGTTTCTCGCTATGCCAAATACTTTCTATTACTTCATTGGGCTGTTGACAAGCAGTAAACGTGCGTATTGATGCACTCACTATCTCTGTTTCGCTCATAGTCTCATGCACAGTGTACATGAATAGTATGTTAGCAGCGTCAGTGCCTCATCATATCCCTCATTGAACCTCACCTCACCATCGATCCTATATTCATAGTTTAAACTCGCGCCAATACATCTCTCAAAGTTCCGAGGACGATGCGGCGCATTGCTGGAACTCCATTCCGGTCCAAGTCCTACGCTCCGAAACTCATAGAAGCCGAGTGGTGGCTAGCTCAATGGGATACAACGACGAAACCTCGGTCAGTCCCATTCATTTTATACGCAATATGTGCCATTCATGCCATCTTCAGACTCGTGATTCAAAATTAGGGTTTTCAGCGGACAGCATATAGGAAACTTTCCAAGGATGGACGATCATACTACTGTATTACATACCTACCTATACACATTGATATCTCGAGTTCGGAAGACATACATACAGCTATAACCAAGGAACTAAAACAATCACAAGCCATATGTAGTATTTTGCAAAAAGCTTCGTGGATGTGAATCTACCTGCTATTTATCATTGGTACTTGTTTTCCGCTGGGCTGTTGTCGGGCTCAAAAATACGTATGTGAGGTTTCTACAAATGTTGGGGCAAAATGTATCGGACGAATGAAGAGACGCAAACAGGAAGTAAAAATTTGAACATGCAAGCAAATAAGGCTATCCTGAACCTCTGAAGGAGAAACAAAAGGGTGGGGGGGCGTTTGGGACCGAATGACACCAAAAACAATGATGAGAGTGGGATTCGAACCCACGCCACAATGTGACCAGATTGTACTAGAACGTATCAATATACGCTGGTCTCCTTAGTCTGGCGCCTTAGACCGCTCGGCCATCTCACCATTGGTAATGGTTGCATCATTTAAATTGTTGACGACTATCATCCTACTACAGGATTACCCTTCTAAACTGTGCAACGACTCGCCTTGGATTATTGTTGTGAAAGCGGGTTCAGGTACTGAATTTCTGTTGTTAAACATTGATTGATCTAAATTGACGACGATAAATACCGCCAGCGGATAGAGCACCTGACGAGGATTGTAAGTTCCATCATATCAAGAAGGTTTGGTTTTTTTTGCTTACCGCAGCAGCGTTTCTCACCATGACTAGTGCTAAATTCCACAGAGTGAGCGAGTACGTTTTGTTTTGATATAGTAAGATTTGGACAAGAACATAGATAGCCTGGATTCAGTTCAAACATTCAAGCGAGGGCTCCTTGAGAACATCGTAAGAGTAGTAACAGTAGTTGATTACTCACTTGAATGAAGCAAAATGTTACTCCTGATTCCATGAGAAGCGAAAGGATCCGTCTGACCCTGATGTGCCTCGAACTATGATTGATTGAATACATTCCATTAGATTGATTATAACTCTTGCGGGGCAGCGAACTTGGACCAGTCAGGTTAGGGAAAGAATCAATCACCTAGTATAATATATAGCTTACCAGGCTTTTATGAAAATAAGTATCGTGGACATTAGATTGACCACAAAAGAGACAGAGGTAGAGACATAGTCCATGACGATCTCATGGTTAGCAGCGTCAGTGGTTATGTCGATCAACACATCAGCGATGTTGGTTGCTTTCGAGTAAGCGATTAAGTACGTCGAATCATACTAATCAGGAGCCTCCCTAGAGCCGAGCGCCTCACCTAGGTTACCCAGCATCAACGTAGACAGAAGGTATCTGAGCGATTTGTGTTCCGTCCACATGTTGCATGTCCTCCAAACGACAATTGCATCTCCTACGACTAGCTAGAAGAAAATTGTGGTGAGCACGAAAACGAACGAGGTAGAGTCAAATAATGACGTTAATGTTGAGCGGCACAGTGCACATTCGAGCTAAAAGTTCCCCTTTCCTGGAATGATGTTCGGATAGCAAGGCAGTAGCCATTGTGAGCACTGTCTCGATTTGGATTCCCAGGTGCCACACATTACAGAGGGAGAGCAATGTCATGCAAGCGTAGAGTATTTTTTGAGATCTGCTGTGAAACCCTTTCTTTCTGATGGTCGACACAAAAGTAAGTAAATGCATCAAGCTAGTGCGAGGTCATGATAGTGAACACCGTGTAGAACAGACGTACGAGCATATATTGACGGAGATGCCGAGTGCGCAAATGTAGAAGCCTATGAGGGACCATATTCAGGATCACGACAGATATTAAGATAGTACCAGGACAAAGGATGTCACGTACCGAATAGAGCGCATGTAGGAATGGCTCCACCAGATAGTTGTCCAAAAATTTTCGAGCCGAGGACGGAGAGGTCGACATGATTCTGCATTGTCATTTTGACGGCCGTGAATAGGGAGTGGTCAATGAGTTTGGCGTGACTTTTTATAAGTTTGACTGCGGCAGTCAATGGGCACTGCAACACAGAGATAGCATAGCAATTGATTTGCGGAAATCAGAGTCATAGGGGATTGGCAGCTGAGCCTGGCACTCAGGCAGCTGAGCGCTCAGCAGTGTGAGGAGGTATGGTTAACTTTTAGAGGTGGTTTAGCGCTTGAGCATTGAATACTTGAGTACTGAGTGGTATGAGGTCGCAGCCATTCTACTGAGAAAGGATGCAGTAGTGATGAGTTCGAAGAATCATATAATCGATTCAATACAAGAGTACATTGGAAAAAGAGAAAATTTGAGGTGAGGATGAGCTGAGATGAGATGGCGCCGGGCGGGAGTCCACATGGTTTGATGACAAGCCAGGCGTCTATTTTCCGCCTGTCAGTTTTTCAAATGGTTCACTGTTTCTTCGACATTTGCATCAGCTCTTCCAGAGATTTTTCCTACTCGAGGTACACCGCCCAAAAAACCAGCTACGAGCGAACGGCCGCGATTCTTTTGGAAAATGCTACCAGCTATGGGCTCCCCAATAGACCGGAAGAGTTGAATGCAGAGCAGCGGGAAATTCTACAAAGAGTCTCCGGCGGTGCACCAAGTAGCTCTTCGAAGGGCAATTGGTTATCCTCCGCATTTTCTAGTCTCAGGAGAGACAAAGGCAGCAATTTGGTCTTTGAGCCTCCCCACGCACCGGTTGTAGGCCGACTTGTGTTTTCGTTGTATGACGAACCGGATATGAAGGAACTCCGGGACAACTTTGTGAAATTGTGTACTGGAGAGCTGGGAATGTGTAAAAGTGCCCCAAAAAAACCGCTCTGGTATAAAGGTGTTAGGATTCATAGAATTGTCAAGGACTACATCACTCAAGGTGGCGATGTAACGCGAGGAGACGGGACTGGTGGTGAAGTACAAAACTCTTTTTTTTTGGTAATACCAAATGCCTTTACTAACGATAGCTATAGTCAATATACGGTGGAAAATTCAACTCTTCTCCAATCGCCCTTTCTGTCCCCCCCAAGTTTGGTTCGCTCGCACTCGCCAATGCTGGCCCTAATACCAATACATCGCAGTTCTTTGTCGTGCTCAGTGGAGCGGAGAGTCAGCTGGCGAGAATTCGTGGCAAGTACGATGTATTTGGTGAAGTTGTCGATGGTTGGCAGGTTTTGGAACAATTAAATAAAGTTGGGACGGCAGATGGGGATGTCTTGTGTGATGTTTGGGTAGATGACTGTGGGGTCTACTAGTATTCAATGGTAAATTTGTATCCTCACGTACGCTCTACCGATTCTTCCTTCTTATTCAAATTTCTACGAAGGACATCTCAATTTTCGGCCTCAGTTTACCTACATATACCCAATATACACCGAAGCTATCTGATCAACAAAGTCACTTACAGCAATGTAGGATAAAACCTTTGGCTACAGCTTATTTCTTAATCTACTAAGTGTTCGAACTTGAAGTTTCAATGGTACAAGATTCTATATTGTTGCCATACCATATACATACTAATATCGTTTGAGCCGGGCGTTCGAAAATGGCGAAGTATACTGTACCAATACCAAACTGACTTGCTGAGAGTCCTCGTTGGATATTCGTATAAAGACTCAGCGGTGTATCACTTGCGTTCATCAACCCCCCTACGTGATAAAAGCCGTTACGGCGTTATGGTAAGGTTTGAGCCAGGAAAACACAATGATCGCGCTTTAGTCGAGAACTTGTGGCGACATGATTGTATGCAGTGCATTTCTCGGATGTAGATCAACTCGTCGTTGTCAGGATATACAGTGAGACCTAGTGAGATAAGCTTGGGCCGGGAAAACGAAAAAGACCGCGTTTGAGCCAAGTTAACGTTGAGGTCAATATAGTCGATGATACATCTCTTCGACATAGTCTGCGGTTAATCCGACATTGTCATGACATTGGAAAGTTTCAGAAGCGATGGATGCCACAGTATATATGCAACAGGCTACCGGCTGATAGTAGTTGGTATCGATTTGTGCACTTAAGGATAAGTGCGAACCTTCAGAGGATAGGAAACGGTGTTGTTGGAAGTTGAGATGTTCTCCAAGGATTCACCACCGGATCATGCGCATGAGTTTCATGCATCCTGTAGCTCTACTTTACAGTCTTGAAGGCTGTAGAGCAGAGCTATAGTAGAGGCATAAAGAAAGACAAATTACATACAGTGTCCCACTAACGGCTACTAACGGTTCATATTTCGGCATGGCTCTGAAGCTGAATGATCTTGTTGACGATCTATCTGTTGACGATCTATACAACAGGATAAGGTTTTTGTAGAACATCATGATTCATCGAGAGAAAACGTGTTGAGTCGGCCCCTCGATAGCGCTTTCGGAACCATTGTGTCTCTGCATGGGAGGGATGAGGCCTCAGAATCCATTGAGCGCTATAGAGTTGGACGAATGAGAGGATGCTAATTGCTAGCGCTGATCTATAGGGTGAGTTCATATGGACTGAATCAACAGTAATCCATTATCCATGAATGTAGGACGTTGGACGGCTTCGGAGGTGGTGAAGGACTAGGAATCTTATCTTATCACCTCTACGCGGGCGTCTAAAATTTCTCGCCGAGCTTCCCGCAAGAAAATCCATTTCGCACACGGGCACTTCCGAATTCCGAGTCCTTTCACCTCCTACCTTACACCTCCACGCCAAAAACCCTCCCTTCGTGTACTCAAAGCAGAGAAATCATGGGACAGTCAGTATCTACATCCAAATCCACTGGCGGCGCCCAATGCCCAGTAGACCATAATTCTCTAAAACCCGCTTCATGTCCAGTAGATCGCAATTCTCTCAAAACCTCTTCCCAGACCCCAGCCCAATGCCCTGTCGATCATCAAAATAATTCTCCTTCCTCTTCCTCTACACAAAAACCCGCCGAATGTCCCGTCGACCACAGCTCTCTCAACCAAATGCCCACTCTCTCTCAACAACCCTCACCAAACCAAACCATCACCCTCCCCACTGCTCGCACAGAATCCTCCATCCTCCGAGACGGGTCTACGAAATGGGACTATCCCTCTCCACAACAATTCTACAACGCTCTAGTGAGGAAAGGATGGGAAACGCCTGAAGAGCATATCGAGACGATGGTTGAGATACATAATTTTTTGAACGAGCAGGCGTGGCAGGAGGTTTTGAAGTGGGAGAAACGCGCGACGGAGTGAGTACAAACAAAAGTCATACTTTGATGGATAATTCTGGTGGAACTTATCGGTTCTTATCAAGTAATACCGCAGATGTAGAGTTAGCGCGATTCAAAGGTCGCCCAGGCGAATTATCACCAAAAGCTCGGTTCTGGCTCCTCGCTGGTTGGCTGTTCCCCTCTCGTTTCAAGTATGTGTCTTCCTTCCTCCTCTTCTTCTAGCATCTACTCATTTATCTACAGCACCGAACCTCCTTTTGATCGCCACGATTGGATTGTTCGGCGTCCCGGTTCTGGTGAAGAAGTGCGATACGTTATAGACTATTACTCTGCCCCTCCA